TTGATGCGCTGCCACCAGCGATCAGCAAGAACCCTGACGGTATGCCGGCCGTTATGGTCTACGACTCGAGCAAGCCCCTGTGCGGTCTCGCACCGCTGGGCCACGAGGCATTTGACGCACTGACCGACACAGACCTGCACCCGGAGCTGGCCAAACTGTCCGACCTTGAAGACGGCGACGTGCTGCTGCTACAGGCTCGGACGCGGGCGCCATTCTTCAGCGGCGGCTCGACGGCACTGGGCCTGCTGCGGCTGGAGGCGTACCGCGCGGCCGTCGAAGAGGAATTGCTGCCGTTTGATGACACGTTCCGGTTCTTGTGGGTGGTCGGCTTCCCCATGTTCACGCCGACCGACGCCGACACGACAGACCCTGGCCAGGGCGGGCATGCTGGGTTCTCGGCGACGCACCACCCGTTCACGGCGCCCCTGACTGAGCACGACTTTGAGCTGTTGACAACCGATCCGCTGCGCGCCAAGGCCGACCACTACGATCTGGTGGTTAACGGTGTTGAGCTGGGCGGTGGCAGCCGGCGCATCCACGTAGCAGCAGTGCAGGAGGCCGTCATGCGGGACATTTTGAAGATGGATGACGCAGGTGTGGCGCAATTCGGGCACCTGCTGGACGCGCTGCGGGCCGGGTGCCCACCACACGCCGGGTTTGCGCTGGGCTTTGACCGATTGGTGGCAGTCCTAAGCGGGACCGGGTCTGTCCGTGATGTGATTGTCTTCCCCAAGAGCATGAAGGGTGAGGACCAGTCTGTAAAGAGCCCCGGGCGGTTGACGCCTCAACAGTTGGAAACATACCACCTTGCTCTTCGGTCGGCCAAGGTCAGCCAGGGCGATGAAACAAAGACATAGACGGCGAAGGCGCAGATGAAGACGTAATAAGAAATACCCTGTTCTATTGTATAACCCCCCAAAACAAAAAACTATAAGATAAGAGACACTGTAGACACTAGAGCGCTTTCTAATAAACGCCAGTTGTATATTCCCCCCGGGCCCTCAAAAAACACTAAAAATTCTTGCCCGTGAATGGGCTCTGGACGCTGCTAAATCCTTGCGGGCAGGCACGGCCCAGTGCCGCGTTACCGCTGCGCATGTAGCACACCTTGGCGGCGGAGCAGGCGTCGTTCGTGCAGTTGGGCGTGCGCACGCTGCTCTTGCTTTGGTACAGGTTCATCTGACTGACGAGGCGGTGCGACTTGTCGGCCTCGATGGCCTCAGTAACGCGGTGCCAGAAGGTAGCGTTGAGCGGTGCATCATCTGGCCATTGCACGGCAGGGCCGTATGCCGCACGAGTTGAGTACTCAAAGCGGAAGACGGGGCCCTCACTGCCGCTGGCAGAGTCGGCGCTCGAATTAGACGGCGCCGTCACATTAAGTGCTTCGAAAGTGTCGACATCGGCATAGAACGTGTACGCGTCCATCACCTCCCAGGAGCCCGTATCGATCTCGTACATGCGGAAGCCCGAGTTGAGATTGGTCAGCGGTGTGATGGACGGCCCGACCCAGGCATTGGCAACGGCATCCTCGGCTGTCTGGCGGGTGGCATTGTTGCGGTAGTAAACAAAGGCCTGGTCCTCGTGGGTGTGGCCGAAAAAGACATTAGCAACGACGTGCGGCGAGTAGCGATCAATAATCTGGTAAAAGAGATCGGCACCGTTTGGCAGCGCGTTGGAGCCGTCCCAACCACTGAGCACGTGGCCCACGACAAAGACGCGCTGGCCCTCGTCTTCAGCACGCTGCAGCTCGCGGATCAGGAACGAAAAGATGCCCGAGAAGTCCGGGTTGGCGGCGTGCAAGAATGCATAGTAGTTGCTCTTGTAGTACATGTCGGTATTGATGGTGATGATCCGCACACCGAGGCGGTCGACGACTGAGTAGGCGCCGTAGTGCAGGGCGGCCTCGGCCGCGGCGGCGCCGTCGATCCAGCCATAGTGCTTCCACAGACTGGAGACGTGGTCGTAGTTCCACGAGAACTGGCGACCCAGCGGTCCCTTGTCGTCGATGCCCTGCGGCGCATCGAGGTTGTCCGGGGCCGTGTCGTGGTTGCCCAGGGCGCAGTAGATGGGCCCGCCAATGTACTCCTTGAAGAGCTGCCAAAGCGAGGCCTCGACGTACTCGACATAGGACTCGGAGAGCTGGTTGATGGGGTCGTGGGCGACCAGATCGCCCGTGTAGAGTGTAAAGGCCAGAGGATCCTCAGCCGATGTGCCGGTCAGAGGGGCAATCGCCTGCAGGGCGGCAAGTGCCAAAAAGTACGGCGAGTCGCAGCGGAAGTAGCCGAAGAGTGGCGCTGGCACGGATATCTCTGGGGTAGAGGCTGGACCGGCAGAGCTGGCGGTAGCCGTGCGGCCAGCCGCGAGATCGGGCGGCCGGCAGCAGAGGCCGGAGGTACAATTGGCTTCGCTGCCGACGAGATAGCGCGGGTCCAGATGCAGATCGGAAATGTGCAGAACCTTGACACGCTGGCCACTCCGTGCTGGCACGGTTTTTGCATGGGGTGGTCGCGGCTTGGGAAAGACGGCCTTGACAGACTGCACGCCGGGGCTGGGGCAGAATTGTGTGCTGAGCGATGCACAAATGTACTGGCCATCAAGTCCCGTCACATCGGCCGCCGCGAGAATCTGCGTCCACGCAGCACCAAACGTCCCAGGGGCGTAGTTGGTGGCACAAGTTTCGTTGGACGCAAACCCCGTTGCTTCACACAGCGCAACCATGGCGGCAGGTAGAGCAGAGGGCGCCAGACGGGCAGCCATCTGGCCGACGGCCAAAGCAGCGACACAGCGCGAGCAGTTGTTGGGGAATGACCGGTTGGCCGAGAGAATGTCTTTGATCTCGGCCGTGGCGGCCCGGATGACGGCAGAAGCACTTGCATCGCTCAGGTTGGCCAGCGGCTGCGGGTAATAGATGGGATCGTCGTTCGTGTCTGGAATGCTGAACGGGCTCGTCAGGTTGAGCGGAAAGGTCTCCTTCAAAGCCGGGTCGCTCAGCACAGGCTGGGGCTCGTTGGTCGGGCCGGGCTTGACATAGTAGCTAGCAAAAGCCGTTGTCGGAAAGGCCGCAGGCACGACATAGGCCGAGATGCCCGGGATGTGTGTAGCGGGCTGTGCCGATGGCAGCGTCGCGGTGGACGAGGTACCGGTGGCACCAGCAGCGACATGCCCAGCTGTGGCTGCGGCCACGGCCAAAGCGGTTGAGGACTTCATGTTCAAGAGCAAGACGAGTAGCAGGGAGACAGACACAAGCACCAGGACAGCAAAGGCGGATGTCGTCAGGGCACCGTGGGCTGCGTCTCTGGGCCTCATGGGGCGCATCAGCCGTCTCGCGGCGGGAAGCAGGCGTTATATAGCATGTAGTATGTGGAGGCAGTGAGGGGAAGAGTCGAGTGCCATGCCACTTTGAGGACGGGCCGCAAGAAGACGTTCAAAGCGGAGAGGAGGTGCCGCGGGCGAGCTGCAGTGAGATGCGAGAATTGACAGCGGACAAATGGACAAATGGGGAGGCTGGGAGTGCAGCACGGAGAAAACGTGCTCGAGAACAACGCGCGATGTCGTCGAGATCGACGCTCTTGGAACTACTCACCGATCCCTCAAAGGAAACAGAAGCTGTTGCAGGGCCAGCGATGAGAGGATCGGCAAGTTCCATGTGCGCAAGCGACCCCAGCGGAGACGGGGCGCGATAGCAGCGTGAAAGCCGCGTTATCACACTATGGGATACGAAGCGAGCTTGCGTCGGTGTCTTGGAAAGTCATCGGTGGAACGTGCTTATGCCCTATAAGTTCATAGGTCAGCCGTTCCCAGCAGCCGGGCGAGGTCTCATTCAGACCCCAGCAGAGCTTCGCCCGGCTGACGGGATATGAGCATTAGCGGCGGGAGCGAGCTGTGATAGTTCGTGTTGGTGGCAGCTTATATCATTTATCAGCATCGAGCTCCCGCTTTCGATCATTGTAATTGACCTTTGAGTTTTTTTTGAAGGTCTCGATGTTGTTCTGAAGTTTACCGAATACTCCATCAATCGCTTAAAGGTGTCGAATGATGACAAGTCGTGCATGTATAGTGGCTAGGGCCGTTTAACGATTGGTCTTGGCAGGTTGGGGCAGCTTGCTGGAAATGTAAACAGAATCTGAGAGAAGGCTGAAAAACGATCGAGAGGTTCCCAGTAGCAGATTCACGGTCGATGCTGCCTGCTGAACAGCCTGCTGAATGTGGGGAGGCGTGACTACTCCATTGCTCTTTCTGTATGTCGTGAATTGTAGTTGCCGTACAGATCTATTGACTGCAGCTCTTGCCTCCTCTCCTACAAACGGGTCTCTGCGAACAGGAAGGTGCATTGAGCATTCACGACAGTAGACTAGCTCTCTCTACTCTTTCTACAAGTAAGTGAGCACATACTGGCAGGAACGACTCTGCCGGGTATCGAATCTGCATCACAATAGAGCAGGCACGATAGAGATTGCACATGGCCTCGCAATACGGCGTATGTTGGAGTTTTCTCGTGCCATCAATGATCACCGTAGACGGTGAATGACACTCAGCCAGGCCAAAGCAAGGCCTCTCCGTTACACAACTGTGGAGACTTTTTGCGACTTTTTGGCACAGTGAATGATGGCACATGAATAGCATGAAGAGCTCCAAACTGTGCTTCAAGTGCGTAGTTTCCTAATTGGGACAGACCAACTGCCATTGTAATTGGCACTCTACGCCGACGAAAGAGAGAAAGAACCTGGCAGCCTGTTCGGATCCCTTGCTTTCATTCTGGTCTTTAATTTCTGCGAAACATTCTCTCTGAACTCTTTTTTCTTTTCTCCAACCTCAACCAACGCTCCTGTGCACTTCCAAGTCGCGAAAAAGTACGCCGACAGCTCGTCGACGTTCCACAGCTACCCTTGGTTCACTATTCGCAATAGCGCCACACGTGACGGTTCACGTGGAGACATCTAGCACACCTCTCAAATCCGTCCACTAATCTTTGCTACGCGCATCGCGCTTGGGACGCTCCGATGGACGACACATCGCCGTCGGCGTCTCAGCCATTCCCAGCAACCCCTCCACCCCTCGCAGCCTCTGCCTCGCCAGCCCTCTCTGTTTCGCTTCAGAAAGGTAGGGATCCAATCCGGGGACGCTCAAAAACGGCGCGCGCGGGGTCCAAGTCAACGCCACTTCGTTCAGCTGTTTTGAAAAACACCCAAAAGCGAAACAAGATTTCAGCATTGCTGCCCTCCTCGTCCTCGACCACACGCCGAACGCGCACCACGGCACACCGCGAAGCCCAGACATCAATGCCCGAGCTCGCGCAAAGTCCGTCTTCCCATACCACCGTCTCTTCGAGCAGTATCGTGGGGCCTTCGACCCAGCTCTCTCTCAGCACGAATCTGCCCAAATCTACCAAAAACAACAAGCAGAAGCCGGGAAAGCCAACAAAGCCCACAAAACCCACAAAGCCTACCAAGACTACCAAGCCTGCAAAGGAAACCACGCCGTCGCCTGCTACCGACAACGTCGAGGGTACAGAAAGCCAAGACGGCGAGTGGTATGCCATCAAGGACATTGTTGATGAGAAGCTTGAACGCGGCGTCCGTTATTATTTGATTGACTGGTGCAACGACGCTGTCACCGGCAAGTCGTACGAGAAGTCTTGGGTATGTTGTGTCTGGATTGCGACTGGCGAAGTTTTATGTTCTATGTTTCTATGCATTTATGTTTTTATGTTTTTATTCTTATTTACTTTTGTCTTTTTTTTTTGGAGTCTGGGCCGTCGGCTAACTTTCTAGATTCCTGCACGCGACGCCAACAGCGAGGCTGTCCGCGACTGGAAACAGGTCAAAAAGGCACGCAACATCCAAACTGCCGGCCAGTCTACGCTCAAGACCAAACCCAAGCCTAAGCCTAAGCCCAAGTCCAAGTCCAAGTCCAAGTCTACGGCAACGCATGCACCCAAGGCTAGCAAGCCCAAGTCTTCGCCTGCAAAGTCTGTCCCGGCCGAAATCTCCTCTCAGAGCTCGTACGCCAACACAAGCAGCGTTCTCACGTCCCAGGAGTCTCAGGCTCTCACGCCACCGTCTGGTAACGGTGTCAGCGAGGTTCCCGAAAAGAGCACCGGCAGGAGGCTGCAGCGCAAGCGTCCTGTCTCTCCTTCTGAGAATAAAAACGCGGGCGAGGACGCCGCCCCACCGCCGCGCAAGAGACGCCTTGTACGGGGCATTCGACCGGACACAAGCCGTGCTGTCGAGCCCAACTTGAACGGCAACGATCAGAACCAGGGCCAGAGTGTGCTTTCTTCACCTCCTGCCACTCGCGAACAGAGCGTTGATCACAACGAGGAGCCTCGCAACCTGGACGGCCTTGACCCAGATACCGTCCTCCGCACTGCAGCTACTGTCCACTTGGTCGATATTACCACGCGTCCAGACTTTGACCCCAAGGAGTACGTCCGCCTGTCACAGCAATCCCACCTTTCCCAGATCTCCCGTCTCGCCCTGCAGAGGAACGGGTGGTTGCAGCCGCAGTCTGCCGTTGCTTTCCAGTTCTCGTCAGACGACCTCCCCAGTTTGTCACCCGCCAGTGAGCAGCTCTCCTCTTCGGTCTACCATTCCTCGCAGAAGTCCAACTCGCCGGACGAGGCTGATTTTGAAGAAGATTGCCTGCAGCTACCCTCTGGACACACGATCCCTGACTCCCAGGCTGAAGAAAGCGGCACCCTTCGCACCGTCATTGGTTCAGACGACGAGCTGCCACTATTCGTCGACCAGTTCGAGGACAGCAGCCCCATCCCCGACGAGGTTCTAACACCGAAAGTGTACCAGGCTTCGCAGGAGTCACTCCAACAGGCTGCAACTTCACAATCTCCATCTTTTACCCCCTCAGTCCTCTCACAGCAGCCGGCCCCAAATACCGACAGCACTGCCAGTGGTGAAGCACAGGTTGTTCCGCCTCCTCTCCCTACCCCGTCCCAGGACAACCAGCTGTTTCGGTCATCTGCCGACTTGGCATCTGAAGAAGAGCCCTCTGCACCTGTTGAAGCCAGTGCTGATAAGTCCACTGCCAGTGGCACTGGAAGCGCGTCTCTTAATTTCCTGACGCAGCCCGAGCCCGATTTTTGCCTTCTTACCCAGGAAAGCCAACAGCCGGGCCGACCGACCGGACAGCAAATTCCAAGCGGCACAACAACCCCCCTTTCCTCCTCCGCAGCCGGCAGCAACAACTTTTCTACTGTGTCTGTCATTCACGACTCGACACGGCCGATCCGCGTTGCTGGTACGGTCCTAAGCGCTGCCCGCAACACTTCGCAGACAACTGGCAGCTCCTCATTGTCTATCCCACTTCTCTCGTCGGCGCAGATTGTGCCGCCTCCCTACAACAACCAAGGCCACGATCTTGTGTTTGATAACCCGGCCGATCTCTCCAACTCCCGCCCCAACAATCCCTCCCAGCAAATCTACAGAGCCCCAGAAGCGATCATGGACGAATCGCCCCGGCAGCCCATGTCGGCTGTCGACAAACTCCGGCGGGCATTGCAGTCTCAGTTTGATTCAACGGCCAACGACGATGCTATGGTCGACAGTAGTTTGACCGACGAGGATGACCCGCTTGTCCTTGCTGAGATCCGTCGTCTCGAAGAGGAAATGGCGGCCGCCTCCTCCCAGCAGCAGGAGCGGCAGCCGCATCAGCAGGCCTCCCAAGAAGAGAGCATCGCCAGCAGCTCAAGTAATGTCTTGCCTGCTTCAGCTCCATTAGCGACTGTATCGACAGGTACGGTGCTGGATCAACCACACAAGGATCCTCTTCTGGCAACCAGAGCAGACGCTGCGCTTGACGCCCCTGGCACCATTGATACTTCGCCGCCGCTTCTAATCTCTCCCACCGCCATTAGCAACGCACCTGATATCCACTCCGTTACGATTGCACCCGGTGACCTCTCCTTTATTGATGCTGACCCTATGGCGGCTTCTGGCCTCGAGCTGTCGCCTGAGCCCGAACCTAAGTACCCTTTGGTAGGTATCGAAGGCAGCGGCAATACGGGCAATACTGATGTTGACGATTTCGACGGGAACGAAGAGGCTGTAAATGCCAGCGATGGTGATGACGCTGGAGAAGACGATGAGGCCAAGAAGAATGAGGCCGAAGAACCGTCCAGTCCTCTGTCCATGGAGGGCAATGAAGATGATCTCCCATCCTTGTCAGGCCCCAACTTCACCACCTCTAGCTACGTTGTGACACTCCCTTTTGCTGCCAACACGCGCCAGTACTACGCCGATCTCGTTATCGAGAAAGAGAACCAGAAGGCCATCAAGGACTTTAGTGAAGTCTTTTCCCGCGATGTGTACGAGGTTCCAAGTGCCGAGGCAGTTGCCCGCGTTGATGAACTGCTGCGCAAGCTGATGGACTTTTCTGATCTACCGACATTCTACGACAGCCTCCCACCTATGTCCAAAGAGGCCATGATGAAACACGCCGTCGACACGAACAGCAAGTACTCCTTTGTCTACGAGTTTCTCGAAGCCATCTCGACGCTCGAAAAGGACGTACTAATCCTCGTGCGCAAGGGTGTCGCCATGGACTACGTCGAGGCCATCGTCAGCACTGCCGGCATCTCAGTGGAACGCTTCCAAGCTGGCAGCCACACTCATCCCCGCCCCCTCAGCCCAGGCAAGGCCTCGACTGAATCAGGCGACTCTGTACAGCAGGAGAGACGACGCCGTCGAAGTGGTTCGCTCAGTGTCTTGCTAGCCGACACGGCCGAGATGCGCGAGGCCATAGGCGCGACCAGAACCAACGACGACGATTTCCTCCGGCCTAGTGACTTTGACATTGTCATTGGCTTCGATCACACGGCACGGACATCTGGCCTTCTTGGCTACTTCCTGGACGGCTCAACGGCGACGACAGAAAATGATGTTGCGCAGAACTATGACAAAGGCGCCCGCCGCCAGCTGCCAAAACCTATTGTCATGCTTCTAGTCAGCGCCTTGTCGCTGGAGCACGTCGACCTCCGTCTCGAACGTAACTCGGTTGATGACATGGAGCGCAAAAACGCCCTTCTCCTGTGCACGATTGAGTGCCTGTCCCATCTCAGAGATAACCCATACGACATCAACCCGCCAAAACCCCACGAGGCAGCCACAGCATTCGCCAAGATGATCGCGGAACCCTCTGATGTTCTAGCCTGGGGCCCGACACCGCTCCCCGAGGAGGTGTTTGATATTTATATGCATTCCTCGGGTGCCGCATCACAGCCCACATTTACGCAAGAAGAGACCATTGACGGTGGCCTCTTCACATCACGGAAACGGCAATTGGTAAGTTGTACAAGCCTATTTGTGGATATAAAAAAGGTTACTATAGAGTCCAAGGCACAACTGACACTTAAAACAGGACGATGACGATCAGGTCAGCGACATACCGAAGCGAGTGCGTCTGACTGATACCACGAATCCCATTGTTCGCGAAGTACCGGTACAGTTCAACGATATCATCAAATATGCCCTGGGCCGCCTTGATGTGACGGCCGCCGACAGTGGTTCAACCGTTCAGATATCGCTAGCTCAGCTCGAAGCACTGGCTGCGAAGGTCACGCTCTTGGAGTCTCAATTGGAAGATAAAGAGGGCCTTGAGGCGACGTTGACGGAGCGTGTACGCACGCTGGACCGTCTGGTCAAGAGCAACACCTCCACTATCATCAATTGTCAGAAGAAGCTGATTGAATCCGTCAAGGATCGCGGTATCTTTGAGGCTGAGCGAGATAAGGCCATTAAGGAAGCCGACGCAGTCAAGGAAAAGCTGGAAGCTCGCACGGCGTCACTGGCCGAGCTGCGCACCGAGACGACGGCGCTCGAGAACCGCCTTTCTGAGGCAAACGCCCTTCTTGCTGGCTCCAGCCAGGTCGATGTGGCTGAGCTAGGCGCTGCCCGCGTTGCGCTCAAGGAAGCCCAAGACAAGGTCACGATGCTCGAGCGCAAGTCGTCCAATGCCGACAACGATCTATCCCACGCACGCCGTGCTTATCAGGACGCTTCCAACGCAGCCGCCGACTTGAGTGCCGAGAACCGCAACCTCAACGCCCGGATAAAGGAACTCGAACACCGTGCCAGCGACAACCTAGTCAAAATCCATGAGGCACAGAACCGCAACGAATCTGAAGCGGCCCGTCAGCAGTGGGCCGAAGCCGTCACCATGCTCGGTGAGCGCGAGCGCGAGCTCGAGTGGGCCCGCGAGGAACTACGCGTTCTGAAGAACAGCCGCCGTGAGACGCGCCAACAGAGCGTTCCCCGTAGCCCTCGGCTGAGCGTTATAAGCCCACGTACCGTGGGCCGCGGCAGCAGTGTCGGTGTTGGTGCCAACGGTGGCGGCAGCAGCAGCGCCAGTGCCACGCCCATCCCGAACATTGCTGGTGCGCCGGCAGTTGGTGCAGGGTTTGTCATGTCGGCGAGGGCTTCAGTCAGTCGCGGCAACAGCCCAGTGTCGGCCAACTTCGATCCGTCCGTTTATGGCGGCATGTTGTCGGGTGGCAACGGGGGAAGCGGCGGCAACGGCGGCACAGGTGGCGGTCCTCCGTTGCCTGGCATGACATACCTCAACTCCAACCAAGGTGGTGGCCGTTGGGGCCATCTGCGAGACTGAGTTGTGTTTGACGACAAACCGCACGAGACGTGTGGATTTCTTTCGTCTTTAATCTTTGAGTCTTGTTTTCTTGGCTCTCTGTTTGGGGCCTTCATCGCTGCCCCTTCTTCGATGTCTTAACTTTCCGTCAGCGACTTATGTTCTTGTTTTTGTTACCCAACTACGTGTGTTTACAATCTAGAGATTTCTATCATTTCACGGCCATGGTTTCTTTTTCTAACTTTTTCTTTTCTCTTTTGTCTTTTTTTTCTTCGTAGCTTTCCATGTCTTTCTTTGTCTCTCACAGTTGTCGTTTGGGAGAGGGACCCAACGCGACCTGCTTCGATTCTCTGTATTATCTCCTTATTTTTTTTTAACTTTTATACTCCAAGACTTTTCATGTACTGACCTTGAGTCAACGTCAAAAATACTGTACCGTCACCATGCGGAGCCTCTGGCATAGGGCCTTCCATTGCTTATATAGTGTACTAAGAATGTACACCTTTCAGTTTGTTTCATGATAATCTAAAGAATTTCTCATAATCAAGCCGCCAACCAAGTTTTGTCGTCCATGTATCTGGTCCCATGTATCAGTTCCTTTCTTAGCCCGGTGCCATACAAAACGTGGTATATAGCGCACGATGTGCCTTACCGTATAGAATTACGCCTTTGACATCTCCCACGTCATTACGTATCACCGGTGAAAATCAGAAAGGCAGAGACCATATAAAGAGAGTCGGTTTCCTCGATGCAAGAATTAAAAATGACAAAAAGGACTCCACGCCACGCTCACACCGAAGCCCAAAGCCAGAAGAGAAGTGAAAGAAGACGAAACAAAAGGTGAAACGAAAAATAATAAAAGCCAAACAACCGCACATGACGCGCCATTCCGCAGGCCTTTTCCCTTTTTTTGTGTACCTATCCCAGATCCATGTCCATCTCCATGTCGTCGACTTATCTTAGTCAACCGCAGCCTCCAGCGCCTGCTTCCTAAACCGTTCGCTGGATGTAAAACAAAATCCTTGGTCCGATGCAGTGCAGTTTTGTTCTCCTCACTGTCTTTTGTTTTGGTCCGAAAATCCCTTCTCTTGTTCTTCCCGAGAAATGAGTTCCCCTGTTGTTCGCCCGCTGTCACTCCGATCCTTTCCCAATTGTTGCGAGCGCACAAAGTCAAAGAAAAGCAGAAGGCTCAAGCAAAACCAGGCAAAAACAGTTGCAAAGTGGTAGCAAATGAAAATATAAACAACCTGTAAAGACAGACAAGAATGGTGTAACGGAAGAGCAATGATCAAAGGGAAGAATGAAAGGACGGAAAGAGGTAAAGCTGCACAAAAGAAGCACAAAGACGATCTAGGCCCTGGGACCAACATGTGGTAAAGAAGAAGAAACACATCAAAATAAAATGGCCGCATACAACGGACGAGACGATGCAACAATACCGAAATCCAACATGGAATAAAACAGTCCATAAAAAGAAAAGAAGAATCACCGACACCGGTCCAATCGCAGTTCGCTCAACCTTTCCCCTTTTATATGGCCCTTGTTGTTAATAAAGATCGATCGCCCGCTCAATTTTGCCTTCCTGCCAGTTCCTTTTTTTGCTCCCCAAGCATGCCAGAGATTGCCAAGGCTAATGCAACACAAACCCTTGCGAAGAATAACAAAGCCCGAGACCACCGGGTGTGTCGCACAAAAATAAAAAGTCAAAGATAAACACTTCTTACCAGGCCCGGTCCCAACATCCAAACGTCCTTTTTATGTCCTGGCAATCAAAAAATATAAAGGCGAAAAAAGAGAACAAGGGAGAAGAAGTGAAGAAAATCAATTGCGCAATACAAGTGTGCTGATAACGTCCCTTTTGAGAATGATCGCTCAAGCAGGTGACTTGTTAGGGGGCGCACCGGAACCATTCTGGCGGTTCTCGACTGAGTTGTTAACTGACAGTCCGCCCATACCAGACGACAGGAAGGCGAAAGGGTCGTTCTGCGAGTAGAAGTTGTTGGATGGGCCAGCAGATGCGGGACCGTTAGTCGCAGACTGGAACGCAGCCTCAGCAGCACGGCTATCAAAGGGACCGGCGGAGTGAGAGCTCGAGACGGGGCCGAAGTGTGTGTTCAGAGGCGGATACGGTGCAGCATTGCTACCACCGAGACCCGACGGAAGCGCGTAGGTACTTGGGGGGCCACCAAACTGTTGTCCATAGCCGCCGCCACCAGCACCGCCACCAGACGCGAAGGGCCCACCACCCGCCGCAAAAGGTCCGGGCCCGGGGTTACCACCCATGGAATTCTGGTTCATGTTGTAGGATGAGCCACTGTCCATGGGCGACGGGTAGCCCGAGTCCGCAACAACGGCTGCGGTCGCACGGCTAGCTCCGCAGCGCAGGCAGCAGACGTTCTTCGCAAAGTTGTGGTAACCGCATGCCTCGTTGCCACACTTCCAGTCGCCTGCACGGAAGGGAACAACACCACTACCACCCATACGACCACCTCCGTGACCACCACCACCCATGTGGCCGTGACCGTGACCATGGCCGTGGCCGTGGCCATGACCATGGTGGTTACCGTGCTGCTGCTGGGGCGGTATCATCGACTGGGGGCCGTAGAAGTAGCCGCCACCGCCCATGTCGCCAGTCGGGCCGGCGCTAACGGCAGGGAAGGAGCAACGGAAGCAAGCCGTGCGGCGCTGGAAGTTGGAGAAGCCACAAGACGGGCAGGTCCAGTCCCCAGGACGCGGGCGGTTCTTGCTCGGGGGGAACGGGGTAAGGATCTCGGCAGCACGGTCAAGAACGCGGCTGGACGACGGCGATACCTCAATGGCCTTCTCGTTGAGGGCACGGCCATTCATGCAGAGGCTCTCGGCAGCCTCTTCGTGAGACGAAAAAACAGCAAAGCCGGTGCCGGTGGGCTTGTGCTGCTCAGGGGTGCGGAGCGTCCAAAAAGCGATGGGGCGACCACCAAACTGGGTAAACCAGCTCTCCAGCTCAGACTGCGTGGTGTCATGGGGAAGACCAGACATGTGCAAAACCTTACTCCTTTCCGATAGGAAGGCTCTGACATCCGCACGCGCGTCCATGGGACGAGCCAGGACATCAGCGTGCTCGTGGGCCGGCTGGGACTTGCGGATCAGGCCGCGTAGGACACGAGCCAGAGTGACAGCCTCCTCCATGGCTCGACGGGGCGAGGCCGGGGCCAATGCCTGCAGGTGGAAGGGGAGGTTGTGCTTAATGGGGGCACTGGACTGGACAGCTTCGACTTCGAGGGCAGCGCAGATGTTAGCTAGCGATGAAGGGCCGAAAGGCAGCGACTCCGGGTGGTGCTGCTGCCATCTCTGGTATTCCTGGCGAAGGTCAAAGGTGCGAGAGTGCTGCAGGTAGGGAGGCAGAACGACAGCCTTGTCGCGAGCCTCACGGGGCAGCTGGACACGCAGGTCCCAGGCATCGAGCGTGACGAAAACAAAGTCGAGGTTCTGCGAGGTCAAGTGTTCAGAGGCAAATGTGTCGAAGCGGTTAACAGCGTCACGGAAGCTCCCGGCGTTGCGAACATGCTCCCAGGTGAGTGTGGTAAGGCTCGCTAGAAGAAAAGATTAGCCAACGGTATTTACCAAGAGAGTTGGAAGGCAAGGCGTCTGCCTCTCGCCAGAGAGGCAGACGGGCACGTTGGCGGTGGATGCTCAGCAGGGACAAGCAGGTACAAGTCCACGGCATTGGGTCAGTGGGGAAGAAGCAGCACAATATTGTCTTATATCATGCTTTCCATACGTCCCAATGTGTCCCAGAATTGCCGTCCTAGTCTTACCATCCCTACTGTTCGCCACCGACATAGAGCCAGCTGCCGGATTGTCGGTAATCGATCCATATTGGGAGAATCCGGACTCACTGCACAAGGGAGTAATGGGCGTGTTTATCGGCTTGACGAGGACACTTTCGCGGTAAAGCTAGAGACGGAGGAAGGCAAATTAGCTGAAAGAGCTTATTTTTTGGATAGCAATTGAGCAGGGATGAAGTCAGAACAGGTCGAGAGTGGATCATCGTACCTCATCCAAACTCTTTGCGTCGAGCAGGATCCAACCAATCTCAATAACTTCGGCAGAGTCCTTGGTAACATAGACACCGTGTTCGTCGCAAGTCGTGGCAACATGGATGACGACATAGCGGTCAAACGACGGCGACGCTTGTTGGTTGTTTGCCATTGTATCTCGAAGAAGACGGGTTTAGAGGGGAAAGTCGGTTAAGACAAAAAAGGGAGGGAGGGTCGAGGTCCGGAGGAACTGCGAAATCGGCAAGCTAGAAACCAAAGACAAATGTTAACAAAGCTGATAAGAGGCGATGAAGAGATAACGGGCATCCAAAGACGATGGCCACGGCAGTATGCAGCGGGCGAGGACCACAGGACAATAATCACAATCCGAGGCCCCAGAAATAGACGAGGCAGTTGTTGGGGGGGTTGATGGGCATGGTAAGGTCGAAGCTGCAACCGAGAGCCGAAGCCGAAGCACAAGCACAAACCGGATCACAATACGTACCCGGAGCGAGCCTATTCAGGGGTCAAAAGGTCGAAAAGGCGCGAGAGCCAGGTCAACCACGTAAAAATCGAACTGAAAACGATGCTGTAGGTTAAAAAAACAAGGGTAATAAGCCAGCCGAGGGTCGAGGTCGAGGCCCGTCGAGGGACAAAGTACAATGCAGAAGCAAAGAGACGGCGAAGTGCTGAAGAAGATTCACGATCGACAAGAAGTCGTTTTCCGTCGTCTGAGCCGAGAATTTCTCGAGTGGACGACGCTCTGCTTCCCGTCGAGTTAGGAGAAGAGGAGAGATAAACAAACGGAATGAGGAAGCGGAAAGGTCGGGGAAGAGAGATCTGGTTGCTTCGGCACGGGAAGGTCGAGGCGGGAAGTCGAGTAGAGGTGGCAGGAGCGAAGCAGAGGAAAGGCAAGACGGAAGAGCAGGAAAGGAGACAGCGAGGTTGAGGAGGAAGGAACAAACAGACGCTGAGGCCAGTTGAGTGGGCCGGTGGACGGTG